CGTTCCAGATAGCGTCCGAGGCGGCCAAGACGCCTCCAAGACATCCCGCGGGAAACCCCGAAGAAGCGAAAATCATAGATTCCCCATGGGTTCCAACATCTCCCCCAGAGCTCCCAAGAGGCCTCCACGATAGCCCCGTGACAGCCTAAGAATTCCCAAAGACGGCTCCAGGAGGGCCCCAAGACGGCCCATGTGGATTCAGAACGCTTGATATTGCCTGCAAGACAACCCCGTGCATGGCGGCACTGGGACTCCAGGAGCCCCCGTTCCTGGTCCAAGACGGCCCAGATGGCCTCCAAGACGGCCAAGATGGCCCATGATGGCTTCAGAGATGCTTCCAAGACCGCTAAAATGGCTTCAAGAGAGCCCAAGATGGCCCCAAGATGCACCCGACACGGCCTATCATGGGGTCAAGATAGCCCCAGATAGCGTCCGAGGCGGCCAAGACGCCTCCAATACGTCCCTACGGAAAGCCCGAAGAAGCAAACATCCTCGATTCCCCGTTGGTGTCTGAAGGAGTTTTGCATTTTTCGGCCTGCCGACGGTCGTCCAGATGGCCCACGAGGTTCCCAAGATCGCCCCCAGAGCGCCCAAGAGGCCCTCGTGACGGCCCAAGAAGCCCCAATCAGAGGCAGCAGCGTGGAATGGGAACTCCCCGCTGCAATGCCCCGGCGGAGAACCGCGGGTCACGCCCGGAGATCGTGAGGAGGACATCCACCTCCACGCTCATATCCTCCTTGACGTCCACCACCTCATCCTCCTCCGTCCTCCGCAACAAGCACCTGCTCGTGCGCCTTCTCAAGCAGCACCACCCTGGCATCCCCCTCCCCATCGTCCTCCTCCTCCTCCTCCTCCTTCTCCTGGCCATCCTGGTACTCCTCCTCCTCCCCCTGTTCGTCCTCCTCCTCCTCCTCCTCGTCCTGCTGCTCCTCCTACTCCTGCTGCGAAGAGGCCTGCGCGCGAGTGCGTGGCGACCTTGCGCGATGGCCCACGCAGGCCTCCGACGCGGCAGACTGCATGAATAAGACGGCGCCGATGCACCTACTTCCGCGGGCACCTTGCGCGCGGGTGAACGCGCGATGGATCCCCGTGGCATCGCCCCCCCCCCCACCCAACCCACCCACCTCAATGTAGGCGGCGCAACGGACCGCTTCTGTCAAAGCCTCGTCTCCCCCCTTGGGGGCGGTTAACCCACCCATCCCGCTAGCAGACCGTGGAGGCCTTGGATGAGGAATCCAAGGTCTGGAGCCTTGTCGATATGCACTTGCGTGGAACGGGGGGGGGGGGGGCAGAAGTTGCCCGCCCCCAATCATTGTGAGCTCTCTGCCCTCCCTCCGTCTCCCTCCACTCCCATACTTCCTCCTCCCTCCCGCCTCCCTCCTCCCTCCCCCCTCCCTCCCACCTCCCTCCCGCCCTTCCTCCGCCTTGGATCCTCTGGGGGAGGGCGGCAGGTGGGCGGTGCGGTTGTGGTTGCGCGCCCGCGGACGGGTTGTAAGGCGTCGCCCTGCTGGGGTTGCGTTTGCGCGCCCGCGGGCGGGTTGACACGCGTCGCCCAGTTGCGGTTGCGCGCCCGCGGGCGGGTTGAAATGTGTCGCCCGGTTGCGGTTGTGGTTGCGCGCCCGCGGGCGGGTTGAAATGTGTCGCCCAGGAGCGGTTGCGGTGTCGCGCCCGCGGGCGGGTCGAGATGTGTCGCCCGGTTGCGGTTGCGGTTGCGCGCCCGCGGGCGGGTTGAAATGTGTCGCCCAGTTGCGGTTGCGCGCCCGCGGGCGGGTCGAAATGCGTCGCCCAGTTGCGGTTGCGGTTGCGCGCCCGCGGGCGGGTTGAAATGTGTCGCCCACGTGCGGTTGCGGTGTCGCGCCCGCGGGCGGGTTGAAATGTGTCGCGGTTGCGGTCGCGCGCCCGCGGGCGTTGAAATGTGTCGCCCAGTTGCGGTTGCGCGCCCGCGGGCGGGTCGAAATGTGTCGCCCAGGTGCGGTTGCGGTTGCGCGCCCGCGGGCGGGTTGAAATGTGTCGCCCAGTTGCGGTTGAGCGTCGCCCGGTTGCGCGCGCCCGCGGGCGGGTTGAAATGTGTCGCCCAGCGGTTGCGGGCGCCCGCGGGCGGGTCGAAATGTGTCGTCGCCGTTGCGGTTGCGCGCCCGCGGGCGGGTTGAAATGTGTCGCCCAGTTGCGATTGCGCGCCCACGGGCGGGTTGAAATGTGTCGCCCAGATGCGGTTGCGGTTGCGCGCCCGCGGGCGGGTCGAAATGTGTCGCCCAGTTGCCGTTGCGGTTGCGCGCCCGCGGGCGGGTCGAAATGTGTCGCCCGGTTGCGGTTGCGCGCCCGCGGGCGGGTCGAAATGTGGCGCCCAGGTGCGGTTGCGGTGTCGCGCCCGCGGGCGGGTCGAAATGTGTCGCCCAATTTCGGTTGCGGTTGCGCGCCCGCGGGCGGGTCGAGATGTGTCGCCCAGTTGCGGTTGCGCGCCCCAGGTCGGTCTGAAATGTGTCGCCCAGGTGCGGTTGCGGTGTCGCGCCCGCGGGCGGCTTGAAATGTGTCGCCCAGTTTCGGTTGCGGTTGCGCGCCCGCAGACGGGTCGAAATGTGTCGCCCAGTTGCGGTTGCGCGCCAACGGGCGGTTTTAAATGTGTTGTTCAAGGCGCCCTCCTGACGTTCAGTCACTGAATTAATCAATCAGTCAGTCACCAGCGGGCACGGAATTTCACCTGGCTCCGCCGGGAAAGACGGCTCCAGGAACACCCCACGACGGCCCAAGAGGGTTCAAAACGCCTGAGATTGTTTGCAAGACAACCCCTTGCATGGCGGCACTGGGACTCCAGGACCGTTCCCAGTCCAAGACGGCTTAGATGGCCTCCAAGACGGCCAAGATGGCCCATGATGGCTTCAGAGATGCCGCCAAAACCGCTAGGATGGCTTCAAGAGACCCCACGATGGCCCCAATATGCACCTTACACGGCCCAATACGGGGTCAAGATAACTCAAGATAACCACCGAGGCCGCCAAGACGTCTCAATTGTTTTTGTTGTTCGGCCTGCCGACGGTCCAGATAGCCAAAGGGGCTCCGAAGATCGCCCCCGAAGCGCCCAAGAGGCTTCCACGATAGCCCCGTGACGCCCCAAGAAGCCCCAAATATTGCCCCAGGAGGGCCCCAAGACGGCCCATGCCTGCAAGACAGCCCCGTCCATGGCGGTACCGGGGCTCCAGGACCCTTCGTTCCCGGTAAGACAGGCTAGATGGGCCTCCAAGACGGCCAAGATGGCCCATGATGGCTTCAGAGATGCCTCCAAGACCGCCAAGGTAGCCTCAGGAGAGCCGAAGATGGCCCCAATATGTACCCTACACAGCTCAATATGGGGTCAAGATGGGTCAAGATAACCTCTGAGGCGGCCAAGACGCCTCCTAAGCATCCCTTGGGACAGTCCGAATAAGCGAAAATCATAGATTTCCCGTTGGTGTTTGAAGGATGTTTGCATTTTTTGTTGTTCGGCCTGCCGGCAATCCAGAGGGGCTCCGGAGATCGCCCCCAGGATTCAAGACCCCTGAGATTGCCTGCAAGACAGCCCCGTCCACTGCGGCACCGGGGCTCCAGGACCCCCCGTTCCCAGTCCAAGACGGCCTTGATGGCCTCCAAGGCGGCCAAGATGGCCCATGATGGGTTCAGAAATGCTTCAAATACCGTTAAGATGGCTTCGAGAGAGCCCAAGATGGCCCCCCAAATGCACCCTACACGGCCCAATATGGGGTCAAGATAGCTCAAGATAGCCTCCGAGGCGGCCGAGACGCCTCCAAAACATCCCTTGGGAAAGCCCCAAGAAGCGAACGTCATCGATTTCCCGTTCGTGTTGGAATGATTATTGCATTTTGTTGTTACGCTCCTGCCCTGCTCATGGCCAACTTGGGGCACGAGAGTTCCGCAGACACTGCTGGAACCTAGGCGCGCGCGAAGCGCGCGCGTGGTTCTATGTAGTGTGTATATATGTATGTATATATACATATATATATATATATGTCTATATCTATCTATCTATATATCGATCTATCTGTCGATATATACATTCCCCGTGGCGGTCCCCGCCGCGTGAGCGCGTTCCCTCCCCCTCCCTCCCCCTCCCGCTTCAGTCGAGGAATATTCAATGACAGTGAAAAATAGCCCGCTCCTCCCTCCTCACTCCTCCCTCCTCCCTCCTCCCTCTTCCCTCCTCCCTCCTCCCTTGGTGGTCAAAAGAATGAGCTGGAACCTGGAAGAGGTAGAACGTGAAGAATGAGAGGATGATTACACAGACCAGCACATATACGAAGCGTCTGGAAACACAGCGAGATCTCTGCGCACCTGCACGGTGCTTGAGCGCCGGCCTAACCTTGGAACCAGATGCCTCGGATACCTCTTGAATCCCGCATCCCTGCTACTCTGAACTGCTACTGAAGCCCTGCGTGCAGCGTGATCCCCGCCACTGCTTATCAGAACAAACCTTGCGTGCCCACCCACGCGCGTGACCCCCGCCGAATTGGAGAAAACACCCCTCACTGCATCTGGAAGCTCCGGGTGGGGAAAACGCAGGAGACCTCAAGACGACCCCAAGAGTCAGCCATCACATTCTCCACGCCATACCCTGCACCGTCGCATCACTGACGCCGTCTCCGTGCCACCCAGCCGCCTAACATCACGAGGCTGGACACCATGGGCGAGGCCCCAAGTACCGAACCGACGGGGCCGTCCAGAAATGGTGCAATCGTCCCTGGTGTCACTCCTGATGCCTGGTCCCCGAGCGCCTCCAAGCCTGCCGACACCACCGCGCGTGCATCGTAAGCCGCCTGCCGATGACGAACGTTCATGTCCCACCAAGCCCGGAGTACGCACACATACCCATTCTGAGTGATCCACGAAGCTGGGAATGCGCAGCCCATGGCCCAAGCTGCGAAAACTGAGCAGTAGATCCAAACAGAATTGTGCCTCCCAGGATCAGCTGGCCTGCTCGTTTTGGTAGGTGTCGCAGCAGGCGTGGTGACTCAGGCTTCTGCGGCCCACTCCACCAGCATCTTGGTCCTGGACGCGATGGCACGGGGAATCGGCTTGCCAGCCATGTTGTTCTGCAGGAGCTCCTGGATAGCGTCGCGGACATCCTTGTTCTGCTGAGCCTCTGACGTGACGACCTCGATGATCTTGGCATTGTTGTTGGCCTCCTTCGGGAACTCCACGTTGCCGCCCAACTCCGCTGCGAGCCAACGGATGCGTAGGCTGCTCCACTTGTCGTCCTGGACTGGCTCGGCGGCAGGCGCCGCCGCCTCTCCTCCTCCAGCGCCGGCCCCGCCGCGGACTGCTTTGGTCAGCTCTTCAAGCTTCTCGTTGAAAGCCGATGCAAATGCCTGTCCCTGGGCGCGCAAGGCCTCCTCTGACTTGCGGCGCTCATGGTGTTCATGCCAAGCGCGGTACTGGGCGTCTTCCGCCAGGAGGAGCTCCTTGGCCTTGCGCAGACGCCGCTCCTTCTTGCGGATCCGCTTCTCCTCCTCGTCCCCGGAGCTGGAGGTAGTGCATGAACGCGGGCGCCGCCAACCATGGCTGTCGCGGCGACTCGATGCTCCGCGGCCATCTTCATGCCGACCGTCGTAATGCTGGGAACGATAGCTGCCGGAGTCGCGATGGTAACCATCGAACCCGCTCCTCCAGTCATGCTCCCGACGCTGACTGTCGTAACGCCGCCCTGGCCCGTACCCTCCGTGGTTGGTGCCCCCGCCTGGCGGGCCGCCGCCGGAGCGTCCGCGTCGGTCCATGGCTGCGGCCCGGGCTTGGACGTGCAGCTCGCGAACGAGCTTCCTCGCAGCTCGGGCAGGAGGGCTGCAAGGCAAAGAATGGACAGCAGCCCGGATAACGGCAACAGGATACGACAGAAGAAATAATTCCAAAATCAGCTCCCCGACCCAAAACACACCGCAATCGAAGGAAAGCTGGAGGTCGCGGCCACGGCGAAGCCGATATAGAAACAGATTGCGTAAAGCATGAAATCCTCCAGGTAGCTTCCCCACCCACGGTAGTATTGAAGCACTCTCCCTTGGCGCACCCGTGTACAGCCAGTCCCTGTTCACGTTCTTGGGCAACAGGGTCAACGACTGGCCACTCACGTACAGCTGCACATCAAGCCATACCCCAACAGCTTCAGCATCTGGAGCTAAAGGCCCCGTGGGTGCGAACTTGACCTGAATCCCAGCGCCGAGGAATTCGATGAGGCATTTCCGGCAATAACGTCGAGAACATATCAACACATCGTCAACATACCGCCTCCACACAATGCACTTGTCGATGCCATGCGGCTCGAAGGTGTACCCGTTCTGCCTGTGCTTCTCACTGTTGCGTCTCCAATTGTACTCCTGTGCGCCAATGGATACCGCCACGCAGATGCCAGACATCACGCCTCCAATGGGGATCCCCTTGAGCGAGAATGCGTGACCAACAACGCACACTAAGGACATCACGGTGAACGAAGCAATCGCCCGTTGAAGATCACCCAGCGTGAATACCAACCAACTTGCACCGGCAGCTTGCTGACCAGGACGTGCAACGAACCGCCGGCCCTTCATGACTGATATGTGTTCCTCGCCCGTCGCCTTCACGTACTGCTCTGCCACGGTTTCCCAGTGCTCCATCACCGGCGGAGCGTCGCAAGCTTCGAACGCCTGGTCTGCGTCAGCACACAGCCTGAAGACGACCGCACAAGTCAACCCCGCACAAGTCAACCCCGCACCTTCGACCCCGCACAAGTCAACCCCGCGCGTTGGGGGCGCTGTCAGCGAGTCCTCCATGCGCCGCACTTCCAGCGCAGCATCGCGTAATGCCCACAACTCACACGAAATCCCCGTTGCCTGCAGCACGCCCCTGACACCACGCCCCAGTAATCGCCATCCGTTCTTACCAAGCGACCGCGATGCATCCACAACCCTGCGCCAGCACGAGTGGAATTCTTTCTGGCATACCCTCGAACACATATGATGATGGAAGCACTTGCTCTTAACCAACGGGAATGTGTGAGGAGCGCACGAGCTCGTGGCAACTGGGTCCCTGCAAACCTCCTTCTGCAAGAAAGCCGGCAAGCCAGCGCGTGCTCTTCCATACTGCCACGCCCGCAAATCCACATCCGATACTCCAGGCAGATATGTCCACGTTGGGTCCGTCACGACCGCACTCAGGATGTAATCGAAAGCCTGGGAAGAATCACACGCCCAGATACGATCATGTCGTCTGTCATCACCTAGCAGAGTTGCGCCCCGGTGCACTTCCAGCCACGCTTCCATAGACTGTTCCACTGTTGCCCAAGCTGGAGGTCGCGACGGCCATGCAATGGTTGGCAAATAACTTTGAAGTGCAACTTTACCACGAGCCTTCACCGACGCTGGCAGCATGCACCTGCGAGCCCAAGAATCCCATCCAGCGAATAAGCCGCCCAACGCTGATCTAGAAGTCGGCCATCGGGGCAACGACCACGGAGCGTCGCAAGACTGAAGGGTCGTCGGTGCCAACAGCGGCTCTCCTTGGACATAATCCGGCATAGGGTGCGAAGCGTCCCGGAATATCTTGTTGGCGTTGACGACGTCGGCCCACCTGTTGATCTTCCCGTAAGGTACTCGGAAATGCCTCAAGAGCCAGACGCGCGCCGCAAAACTGTGCACCTCCTGGATCGCTAACTTGATGAGCCGCCTAACTTGACCCCGTGCCCGAACGGCCCGAAAACAAGCTGGAAGGAGTAGCGGAGGCACCACCAAAGGCAAGCGGAACTTACGAAGCAAGTAGTCCAAGTTCTTTCTTGCTGTCCTCCAGCGGTGCGCGCTGCGTATAAAATGGTTCGCCACGTCGGCCGCCAAGTACAAGAAGTTCGCCAACCGTTCTCGACGCCATTCAGGTAGTGCTACGTGCAATGGCCTTTACTCCAATCAGGTGACAAACAACAAAACACGATGATAATGAAATAGCCAAAGGGGCCCATGGAGTCCAGTGGTCGCAAAGATCTCCTGCTGCTGGTTACGGTACAAATGCGAGTAAGGGCCACTCTCGCGTAAAGCACTTGTGAGGTCTGAACGATGTTCCCGTTGTGCTTCTCGCCGGTCCACCGCATCCAAAGCAAAAGCTCTTCCCCATAGACTCTCCCACAGCCTGCCTGGACAAGAATCCGCACGAGCCTGGCGCCTTCGCCAAGAAGATGGTCGGCGCCGTTTTCCACGAAAGCGGAACCTTTCTGGAATATCCCGGGCCTTCCCTTCAAACCTCAAATCCCTGACATTGACCTCAGGCGCCTCAAACTTGATGCCAATACTCTCGAATGCAAGAGCCCTGCGTTCAGACAAGGTCCACAAGACCGGCAAAAAGCATACAGACCCAATGCTGCGGCGCATCAGGTGGTACCGAGGACGTTTTCCATCACGTGTCCCCGGATCTAGAATACCACGAATGTGTTTCCCAATTCGTGCCGGCCAGCCTGGGCCGCCAACCCGATGGACGTTGGCCTTGCCGATGTAGACTGAGGCATGGTTGAACATCGCATGCACCATCGAATGACTGCCTGAAGGACGACCACTGATGCACTCCTGCGCTGGGACCTGGCCGTCACATAATTGTCGCGCCGATGTGCACCAGGCGCTATCTACCAGCTCAGCTTGCGCATGCCACCCAGGAGGTAGCATGCGTAACACACGTATGGCCCATCTAGGTGTTCGCCGTGACTGCAACGCAATCGATAGTCTCTTGATTCCCGTCATGAGGAACACATTGGCCATGACCCTCGAAGTATGCCTCGAACGACGGCCCGGAAAACCAAGTAGTGTGTGAAGTAGGTAGCACGCCTGGTTGAGTGCCGAGGGGTGGGCGAACACCTGCGACCACACAAACGACAGCAACATGTCTGCTTCAACGCCGGTCATGTTCTTCACGAGGAGGTGCTGCACGGGCGAGGTGACCTGACGAGCTGTCGCCAATGATTCCCCTGACAAGGATGGCCAATGCAACGACATCAGCTTGACGGAATATGCAAGGAACCGAGAATATAGAGTACGGATAACACGTAGGAGCAAGACCACGCAGTACAAGCTCGAAATCCGCACGCCCCCGAAAGCAAGGCCCGGTTTGGCGGCGAAATGCCCCCCTTGGTGGTCAGAAGAATGAGCTGGAACCTGAAAGAGGTAGAACGTGAAGAATGAGAGGATGATTACTCCAGATTTCGTAATAAAGGGGAGGGGGTCTCATTTCGGGGGGGGGTCTCTTCCAGGCTATCTTGGAGGGCCTGGGGGGGTCTGGGGACGATGTTTTGGAGGGTTCTCCCACGGGGGAGGTCTGAAATGGCTTGTCTGGGAGGGTCCAGACCCCCTCCCTTTTATTACGACATCTGGAGTGCACAGACCAGCACATATACGAAGCGTCTGGAGACACAGCGAGACCTCTGCGCTCCTGCGCGGTGCTTGAGCGCCGGCCTAACCTTGGAACCAGATGCCTCGGATACTCCAGATTTCGTAATAAAAGGGAGGGGGTCTCAACCCTCCCAGACGAGAAGTTTTAGACCCCCCCCCGTGGGAGAACCCTCCAAAACATCGTCCCCAGACCCCCCCAGGCCCTCCAAGATAGCCTGGAAGAGACCCCCCCCCGAAATGAGACCCCCCTCCCTTTATTACGAAATCTGGAGTACCTCTTGAATCCCGCATCCCTGCTACTCTGAACTGCTACTGAAGCCCTGCGTGCAGCGTGATCCCCGCCACTGCTTATCAGAACAAACCTTGCGTGCCCACCCACGCGCGTGACCCCCCTTCCCTCCCCCTCCCTCCCCCTCCTCCCTCCTCCCTCCTCCCTCCTCCCTCCTCCCTCCCCCTCCCCCCTCCTCCCTCTCCCCTCCTCCCTCCTCCCTCCTCCCTCCTCCCTTATCTTCCCCGTGCTCGAGGCCCGAGGCCTGGGCCTGGCCACGGGGGGGCATGGGAGGACCAGGGCCTCCGGGGCCCCCCCGAGACGGCCCCTGACAGCCTCGAAACGCCACTCGAGGGTCCCCAGGAGGTCTCCGAACGTTCAAGGGAGCCCAGAATCCCAGAGTCGTCGCCCCAAGACGCCGAAGATGGCTCCTGGGCGGCCTGCAGGAGCCCCCACCGCGGCTCAGAGTCCCCCAAGAGGACTCTGAAGAGCGCCTCCAGAAACAATAACTGGCCCCATCCCCCTTTCTGGAAAACGTACATTTTTACGATGTTCACCGCTTCGGGGCCGACCGCGTCGAAGACGGCCCCAGGAGCCGACCAGATCGCCCCAAGACGGCCAAAGAGAGTTCCCAGAGGCCTCAAAGACAGCTCCAGAAGAGCCCTCGACTAGCCAGGAGGCCCCCAAGACGGTCCCCGAGGGCCCCAGGGGGCTTCTGGGGCCCCCCCCAAGACAGCCCCAGGCAGTCCCGAAACGCCATCGTCTCCAAACGTCCAGGACGGCGCAGAATCCCCGAACTGTCGCTCCAACACGCCGACGATGGTTCCAAGACGGCCCCTGAGAGCCCCCACGACGGCCCAAGAGTCCCCCAAAAGGACTCCCCAAGACCGCCTCCAGAAACAAAACTGGCCCCATCCCTCTTTGGAAAACGTGCATTTTTACGATGTTCACCGCTTCAGCGTCGATCGCGTCGAAGACGGCCCCAGGAGCCGACAAGATCGCCCCAAGACGGCCAAAGAGAGTTCCAAGAGGCCTCCAAGACGGCTCAAGAGGGGCCCTCGATTGTACAGGGGGCCCCCAAGACGGTCCCCGAGGGCCCCGGGGGGACTCTGGGGCTCCCCCGAGACAGCCCCAGACAGCCTCGAAACGCCACCCGAGAGTCCCAGGAGGTCTACGTCCACGAGGGCCCAGAATCCCCAAATTGTCACTCCAACACGCCGACGATGGTTCCAAGACGGCCTCCGGGACCCCCCACGACGGCCCAAGAGTCCTGCAATAGGACTCTCAAGTGCGCCTCCAGAAACAAAACTGGCCCCATCCCCATTTGGAAAATGTGCATTCTTACTATGTTCACCGCTTCAGCGTCGACCGCGTCGAAGAAGGCCCCAGGAGCCGACAAGATCGCCCCAAGACGGCCAACGAGAGTTCCCAGAGGCCTCAAAGACAGCTCCAGAAGAGCCCTCGACTGTACAGGGGGCCCTCAAGACGGTCCCCGAAGGCCCCGGGGGGTCTCTGGGGCCCCCCCCAAGACAGCCCCAGGCAGTCCCGAAACGCCATCGTCTCCAAACGTCCAGGACGGCGCAGAATCCCCGAACTGTCGCTCCAACACGCCGACGATGGTTCCAAGACGGCCCCTGAGAGCCCCCACGACGGCCTAAGTGTCCCCCAAGAGGACTCCCAAAAGCGCCTCCAGAAACAAAACTGGCCCCATCCCTCTTTGGAAAACGTGCATTTTTACGATGTTCACCGCTTCAGCGTCTGTCTTCCCAAGGCCCTTGAGGGCCCGTGGTGTGTTCTCCCCCTCTGGTCCCTTTGGATCTCTCCCCGCCCCCGTGGTGTAGCCACTTTGGCTTAGGCGCTTTCAACCGTGTGCCCGTGAGGTCGCGGCTCGGAGAAAACCCCGTCTCCGCTTGTCCTTTTGCGACTCGCAGATCCATGTGTCCATTCCCTCAGTGACAGTGGTAAGCGGAGCGATGTCGGAGAGGCTCGCGGAGACCATGGGCGTTCCAGGCGCGGGCGATCAGGAGCAGCAGAAGGGAGTGCAGGAACACGAGCAGCAGAAGGGAGTGCAGGAACATCAGGAGCCACTAGCAGACGCGTGGCAGTCACTACCCACACCAGAGAGAGTTCGTCGAGGTCA